TAAAATATGCTAGGAATCAATCCGCAGACCATCTGTCACCGGCTGGCGATCGATCCTACACACAAGCCAGTGAAGCAGAAGAAGCACTTCCTCTCTTCGGAGAGGAGAGATTTTGTTACAAAGGAAAGTAGATAACTAACCTTTTTGCCATGGTGTAATTGGTTAATTTAATATATAATTTTCCTTCTTGAATGTAGGGAACATTCAACTTTACATCAACATACAACTTCAGTACATTGATTGCCAAGGGAGATTTATGGAGAGTGATATCATTTTATACATAATTTTATCCTCACAATTAACATAATTTTGAATACATAAGAATTATTTTTCATCTTATTAAAGAAGTTTTTCAATTAAAAGTTATCTTTATATATATCTAGAGTAGTAAAATTGAATGGGCTAGAAAAAGATAAAAATATGTTTGATTTTGACAAGAAGTTAAATATGTCTTCCTATTAGAGTGGAGTTGGAGGTCGAAGTAGAAGAAAAGATGTTCTGAGATCGGATTTTAGCAAACAGACTTCGAAACTACGCGAGTGACGACAAGCAACCAGGCAGGCGGCCGCTTACTTGGCCGCTATTTGAGTTGAAGCATGCAACAAGTTTGGGCTCCGGTGGCAAAGCTACGCGCAGGCAGCGAATGGTGGCTCCAGGAGGCTAGCAGGCGCCCGCCTGCTTTCCTGCCTATCGATGTTCCCGAAGCTACCCTGATCTAGGGGTGAGCAATTTAACCAAACCGACCGGTAAACCGATTTGATTTAACCGAACCGACCGAAATTTCAGTTTCGGTTTCGGTTTCGGTTTTAGTATATATAAAAGTCGGTTAATTCGGGTTTTCGGTTTCGGTTTCGGTTCCGGGCAATATTAACCGAAACTGACCGAAAAACTGAGCCTAGTATATGTAATTATGTAAATTTTATATATGTAAACCCAATCTATTAATTCAAGGAACAAAGCCTAGTCCAAAACCCAATTAATGGCGGCCCGTCCCAAGTTTAGTGTTACTGTCTCAATGTCCCCCAATCTCCGTATCTTGACTATTTTAATCCCTAATCGGCTAATAAAATCAATGGCAAGACGGCATCAAATCTTTACGCCGCCTTAAAATATATTAGAATGGACGGAGATCGACGCCGACGACGATGCCCTTTGACGATGACGGCTGTGGCAGCTGCTTTCTCCGCCGATACTCCGTCGCACCAATCTGCCGACGAATTATCTGGTGCGGAACATGCCTCAGTCCATCGACCGCCCGGAATACTCAGATCAGATCCGTACCAAAAACATCCCGCTCTATTTGGATCCTCGCCTGTTCCGGTTTCCAACGGAAACGGAAAGCCCTATGAGCTCGGGGAAGATGCCAATGGGATATTCATCTCGGATGGGTCGGTTATTCGAAAACCGACCGGACCGAATCGATTTTTTTTGGTTCGGTTTGTTCGGTTATAAAAAAAATTCGGTTCGGTTCGGTCGGTTAATATGAGTCATTTTTATTTTCGGTTATTTCGGTTTTGAGCCGAAACCGACCGACCCGAACCGATGCTCTCCCCTACCCTGATCCATAATGTTCCATAGTGGCGGTGGCGGGCTGATAGATGGTTGCCTGTCTAGTCTGGTCGCTTGTGACTCGGCTCAGGTATAAATACCCCATCTCGGTTTTCCCCTCTCCACCATCCCAAAAATCCACTTCTCTTCTCCATTTTAAAGTTCGAGAATCCCTTGTTAGAGTACTAGAGTGTTGATTTAAGTTAGTTACTTGGTTAATTGAATTATTTGTCTAAAATGAGATTAACTAGTTAAGAGATCTTGCCAATTTATTAATTAATTCTTGGATATTATTAGTCTGTCTTGTCTATGAGTTAGGACAAATAATCCAGTCAACCATATTTAGACACATTAAGGAGGCCTAGAAATAAGATAGGTTAATGGATTAAAATCTAATTAATCAAGAAGTTAATTTAATCTAAGATTATTACCTTAGTCCATATACCTATTCGATTCATACCTGTTTCTAAATCATTGATTGAATTAATTCTGTTATTGTTATCATTCTGCTTGAATTTTGATTGTTCTAAGTTTTTGTTCTAGATCAAGATTATTTACTTTGTTAAATTAAAATATCTATTAATTAACAAATACTTCCCTTTGCCAATCCTTGTGTGATGACCCGAGTTCTTCTCGGTTAATTTATTGACTTACCGCTATATTTAGCTTCGTCAATTGGCGTCGTTGCCGGTGATTGGCACGGTTGTTATTTTCTAATTATTTTTATAAAAAAAATTAAATAATTAAAAAAAGAGTTTTAAATAAATCAGTTAGTGATTTTTTTGCACACTTGTTCTGCTAGTGCAAGAGAGGTTTTATAATTTTGTGAAGATCCATAAAGACTGTTTAGATCTAATCGTAATATTATTTTTCAAAGAAATCAAAAATTTTCAAATCAAAATAATTTGAATAATCAAGAAATGGGGGAGAATAGACCTAGGCATACAAATTTAGACACTATGACCCTTATTTTTGAAGAAAACGACTGTATTGGCACCCCAGCCATTACAGCAGCCTCTTTTGAAATAAAACCCGCCATAATACAAATAGTTTCTAGTAATCAGTTCGGTGGGATGTAACACGAGGACCCTAGGGCTCACATTATTTGGTTTACCCGTACTTGTTCAACCTTTAAAATAAATGGGGTAGACAATGGCACCATACGACTCTGCCTTTTTCCTTATTCTCTTTGAGACAGAGCCGCACGGTGGCTAAATAACTTTCCAGTGGGTCATTTTACTATATGGGATGATTTGCATAAGACTTTCATGAATGAGTATTTCCCACCCTTAGTGGCTACCAGAGTTCATATGTCTATTCAACAGTTTTGTCAAGGTAGTGGAGAATCCCTTCATGAAGCGTGGGAGAGTTTTAAGGAATTAAGAACAAAATATCCTCCCACATTAATTGATTCTTTTAGTTTAATGTTTCATTTTTATAATGGTTAGAGTATTGATAGTAAAAAGGAACTTGATTATTCTTCTCTTGGTGGTTTTTCCTTGAGATGACACCATAAGAGAATGAGGCATTGATCAATAAAGTTACTTCAAATTCCCGTTATTGGTATGATGATCGTGCCCCAGTCTCTTCTTCTCAAGGAAGAATCGAGGTTGATGAAGCACCTGTGCTTAGAGCATAGATTGAAACATTGACTATTAATATTGAAAACCTTGAGAAGAATCAAGTTCAACCAAATAGGGGTAGTGTAAATTCTGTTTCTTATAGTTCTTATCCCCCTCATTCTCAATATGTTGAATTGGTCCTTTCGTGTGAAAATTGCATGGGTTCTCATTTAACATATACATATCCTTATGATGATTTTAATTCTGATCATGTTGTTAATCTCATGGAATATGCACGAAAGACCGAAGGACCATGGGCCAATCAAAATAACCAATACCAAAGTAATCAAACTAATAACCATAATAATCAAAGAAACTTTGTGTTAGACAAAGGTGCAACTCTTGAGGGGGGGGGGGTGAATAGAGTTGTTCTCGTGAGAGAGTATTTTTTGTGTTTGTGATAATCGGAATAATAATCGCAGGAATAAAGTAAAGAGTAAGGGAAAGAAGAACACCGTGATTTATACTGGTTCACCACCTCGTGGCTAGTCCTCCAAGAGACTTTGTCAAAGGTCCTACTAATCTTCAAGATTCAACGGGTGCTTGAAAAACTGATTACAACTCGAGAGCCTGAGTCACACAAGCCTCAACTTCTTACAACAAGACTTGAGTCACACAAGTCTTAAGAATAACCAACAAGACTTGAATCTCACAGGTCTTAGCAACAACAACTCAAACTAGATGAGTTTTACAACACAAGAATTGAAGCTCACAAATGAGCAAGTAGAATGAGATGCAACGGACAAAAATGTTATTCAGTTTGTCGTTGTGCCCACGCCTTAGAGGGGGGGGGGGGGTGAATAAGGCGTTAGAAAATCTTTTCGAAGTTTGATAAAACCGGTGTTGGCAAATGCGGAAGCAATATATAAAACGCAAACGTAAAAGCGTAAAGTAAATGCACACCGATTTTATACTGGTTCGGGAACTCCCTACTCCAGTACCTTAAGCCTCCTCCTTAAAGATTTCCCAATCCACTAAGTCTCGGTCTCTTGAACTCCGTCAAAGCACCGCACTAGTTTGGCAAACAACCCTTGCCAATGGGATTCACTCCGAGATTTTACAACGGCTATCTCATATCGTTCCCCCAAGGATTTCTAAGGCTATCCTTGAACCTTTACCCAAGGATTTATACGGCTATCCTTAACCGTTACAACATGAGAATTTAACGGCTATTCTCGACCGTAAGAAGGTGTGTTTGAAAAACACAAACAAGAGTTCTACACAACGGCTTGAATATAAAAATGAAGAACAAAACTTAGCCGGTGTAGAAGGAAAGTATACTCTCTCAAAAATGCAATTCAAACTTATGAATATGAGAGTATATAACTAGAAACACAAGCTCAAAGTGTGTGTATAAAAATCAGGAGTTTAAGGCTCTTGAAATAGCCAAAATATTGGAAATAATTAATAAAAGAATGAACACACTTAAAATATAAAGAGAGGATGTTTAGAGCTTTGTTTCTTGAAGAAATATGAAGGATTAGGCTTGTATTTATAGTGGAAGATGTTAATTAGCCGTTGGGAGGTGATTAGGGTTGATTTAATTCAAATTTCGCAATCAGGAACAGTGCTGTAACGGATCCGGTACCCTTCACGGTAGGGGGGTCCGTGTCATCCGGTACCTAGGTACCGTGACACGGTACAACCTACCGTTTGGGGGTACCGTATATGCCAAAACTTTGGTTCGCTACTGGCGGTACCTTCTTAGAACGGGGTGGCCTACCGTCCGTGCCTCCCGTACGATACCTGGGTACCGTTACACAGTATGGGGGTACCGTGTAGGCGGTATACCCTACCGTTTGGGGGTACCGTGCCACTGTCCTGATTTTTCCAAAATTCCCGTAATCCTTCGTGTTTGAGTTTAAAACCTTTTGGATATTTGAAAATGTTTATGGGATAGTTTTAAACATATTTTGTGAGTGCTTTTGAGCTTGTGAATTTAGGTATATAAAATCATATTCTTACATTGTTTTTCTATCTAAATTCTACGCTATTTTAGTGTTTCGACTTCATTCTTGATAACCGAATTTTAATGGATTCTTGTTGTACCTGAAACACTTAAACAAACGTCAAGCTCTTATATTGTTTGTTAACATCAAAACATGAGGCTTAGCAAACCAAGGCTAACAACAACTGCAGTCAAAATATTTTGGATGGTTCTACAGCAATTAGATGTAAAAAACAAAATTGTAGAGAAGCATAATCGCAATCAAAAATTAGAGTTGAATTAATTCAAAAATCAGCAATCAGGAATAGTGTTCCAACGGTAACGGTACCCTGTCACGGTAGCTAGGTCCCGTACGGTAGCTAGGTACCTTTTCAGGCCAAAAACTTTCTGGCAGTACCTAAACACGGTACCTATACACGGTAGGGGGGTCCCGTCTATACGGTAGGGGGGTCCCGTCCATACGGTAGGGGGTCCCGTCTCAGATTAACTCACAGTACCCCTTACGGTACCCCTCACGGTACCTAGGTACCTTATGACCATTTTGACAATTTTTTATTTTTGTCCAAATCATTTCCAATTTTGTTTAAAACTTTTGGATGTTTGAAAATGATTATAAAAGGGTTTTAAAAATATTTTGTGAGTGTCTTTGAGTTTGTGAATATAGGTATATAAAATCATATCCTTACATCGGTGTCTACCTAAATTCTATGCTAGTTTAGTGTTTCGACTTCATTCTTAAGAACCGAATCTTAATGGATTCTTGTTGTACCTGAAACACTTAAACAAACGTCAAGCTCTTATATTGTTTGTTAACATCAAAACATGAGGATTAGCAAACCAAGGCTAACAATCTCCCCCTTTTTGATGTTGACAAACAATATACTTCAAAGTGAGTTAGGCGGGAGTATAAAAATCAAGCAAGCAAGCTCCCCCTAAGAATAAGCATATTTAAAATACTCACTTTAAACTTTTTCTTGTGTTTATTAAAAGTTTAAGTTTGATGCAAATAGTTTCACAAGAATGCACTCAAGTCAAGTTGCATATGCACCACTTTGAAGTATACATTTTCTCCCCCTTTTGTCAAAATCAAAAAGGGCATTTTGAAAATTTTTAACTATGTAAAACTTCTTGATACCCTCCCTCTATCAACATGAATTAAATAAAAATGATAGTTTGGAGATCATTGGGCAAAAGGTGCATTTACAACAAAACTCCCCCTAAAGATAAAAACTCCCCCTAAAATGATGCAAGTTTAAAAACTTTATTTTTCAGGGATTTTTAGGTATTATTTTCTAAAAAGCATAAATTAAAGATGAATTTAAAAATATTTAATCATGCAAACCAAGGCTAAAATAAATGAAAGCACGTATGGGATAAGGTTTTATTTTTGAAAATAATTAAAACCAAACAAAATATCTTATCCCAAAAGGCTAGAAGAACTTACCTTGGCTTATGCCGCTGTTAGAATAATAGACCAACGCTAGAGGGGGGGGGGTGAATAGCGTTTGATCAAAAATCGCAGGAATAAAAGATGAATAAACGAGAAGTAAAGAGAGGAGTAAAAGGCACACCGATTTTACCCTGGTTCACCACAACTTGTGGCTAATCCAGCCTCCCGAGAGACTCTTTCGAGCTACACTACTATCTCGTTAAGCTTAACGGTGCTTAACAAACCCGTACAACTTGAGAATTCGAGTCACACGAACCTCAACAAACCTTCGAAGGAAACAACCCTTCCTTCGAACAGCAAGAGAAACACTTTCTCTTGTCAAGTGTCTAAGAACACTAGAAACACTCAAGAACAATACTCTCTTTTAGAGTGGATAATGAGTAAACTAAGAACGCTCAAGAACACAACACAAGCTTCACAAAAATGGCTCTCAAAAGCTATGAA